TTTGCTCGGGTGTCCCTGGTCTGCTGGGGGGGTCCAGCGGCTTTGCTGGACCCCCCAGCAGACCAGGGGGACAGGAGCAAAGCCGCCCAGGCAGCGGCTTTGTTCGGGTGTCCCTGGTCTGCTGGGGGGGTCCAGCGGCTTTGCTGGACCTCCCCAGCAGACCAGGGAGACCGGGAGAAGCTTTTCTCGCCCCGGAGGACACGGGTGGCGATCTGCCGCCCGTGAGCTCCGGGGCGAGAAAAGCCTTGTTCGTAAGTGCGGATCCGACATAAGTTGGATCCGCGTAAGTCGGGGACTGCCTGTACAGAAGAGGAATTACTTGGAAGTACTGCTCATTGTGCAAACAATGGAGATGGTTAACATTACAAAATTGACCATCTTCTTGCATGTGCCTCTGTAAACATATCTGTGTCAGCATGTTTCAAGTATACACCTTCAGTACAAACTAATAGGGCCTTCAACCAGTGGAAAGGGTTAGTTTCCTATAATGTTCATACAAAGACATCAGCAGGATATTTTTCATTGACTCAGATTTTGTCTAGGTCTAAAAATGAAACCAACCTAGCTACATCATTCCCTGTGCACTGTAGTCAGGTTGACCTAGCCCCCAGTAGAGACACAATTCTTCCACTGACCTATTTACCAGCTCTAACAGGTCAACTAACGATACCGATGGAAGAAAATCCCTTCTTTCAACGTAGGAAGCTCCACACTGCGGTGCCACAGCACTGTTGTAGCTGAGCCCCTATAGCAGAGATATAATCCTACTGCCATAACTGAGCTGTAAAAACTGCTGTTGGGATGGATTTATTAGAACAGTATTGTCCTATATCTCACCCCACTGAGACAGGGTCGGTCAGTTGGTCACTCGGTCTCTCTCTCCCCATCACTAGATGACAACAGACTGCAACTTTAAATCGCTCCATCTTCCTGGGAGCACATCTGCATTCAACGTTCTTGCTACAGCATCCACGGGGAGGGTAAACAAGAATATGTTGCCATGCAGCATGACTAAGCAACTCTTGCACTAAATGTGTGCAGTGCTGTACTTGAAGGATACTGTGCAATTTATTACAAAAGCAGGATGACATTCTGTCAATCAGTTTCATGTGAATGCAGTTACACATGGGGTACATGGCAGGAGCTCTACAGAATCTATGTGCCAGCTGAAAAGTTAAAGCAAACCAACAATTTTTCTAGTTTCCCCTCAACGTTGTAAACCTCTAAGGTTCTCATGCTAGGGATGTTAATTATCACTTAACTAGCTGGAGTTACCCGGCGTTGCTCAGGAAACCAGAGGAACGAAATGTAGAAAAAGAGTAGTCCATTATCTTTTTTTGAATGGTAGAAAACTTGCACTGATTTCTATAGGAATTAAAATATAGGTCCGCGCATCTCGGCCGGGGGGTGGGGGGGCACGCAGGAGGGGCGCCCCAGCTTGCGCCCAGGGCTGCAGGTGCCATGGGAGGCAGGGCAGATGCCCGAGCCGTTGTGCACGTGGGGTCTGGCGTGGCAGAGGCATGTATCTAGACATACCCACAGTGTCTAAGTTATTAGCGCACAAACATACTCCTTTATTGATTATTCAATCTAATATATCTCATGAATTCTTATTGGTTACGCAACTATTCTGAGTTACCAGAATGGGGGTGAGGGCAGCCAGCATGCTCCAGCCCCACTCCTGAGAAGCCCCCCGTCACTCCACACTGCTGCCTCTTATACAGCGAGGGGTGCCAGGTGAGAAATTATTTTGAGGGGAACCAGTTTAAAAACCAGCTCCACTGTCCCCCCACACTGCTGCCTCTGCAGCTCCTGACCCAGAGGCAGCAGCACGGGATGGCAGCAGCCTATGTCTGGGAGTTAGGGATCCGAGTTCCCGGACTTGGTGCAGCTTAAAACTGAGCCTGCCCACCCGGCTCCTAACACACTGTAAATGCAGAGCTGCAGTGGGGTTAGGTCACAGACCCGTCACAAGCCAGGTGAAACTCATTCAGCCCTTAGACTAACATGGCAAAGTAGCTCTTAGCGAGGGATGTTCATGGTTAACCGGTGAGGTGTCTCAGTTACGGCTCACCAGTGCAAGTTGGAGCCACCCTATCGTCAAGGGGCTGCCCCCTGGTCTGGCACCCTCGGGACCTGAGTGGTCCCGGACCGGGGAGCTTGCTGGACCAAGGGAGGTCAATGTTCCCCTGCTGCCGGCTACTCATGTTGGGGCTTGCTGCTCTGCTAACGCTGGCTAGCCAGGGCTCCCCTCTGCTGTCTGCTCGGCTGCCACCAGGAGTTCCCTTGCTGGGACGCCTAGCTACTCCGGCCCTGCTGCCACCAGCGTTTTCCAGGTTACTCTGGGCAGGGCTGCCAGGCTGCCCCGCTGCTGCCAGGGAATCCCCTGCTGGGGTGGGGACTCCCCCTGCCGCCACCTGGCCCCGCTGCCCGCCGGGTATTCCCCAATCAGGGCTGGGGCTCCTCAGCTGCTGCCTGGCCTCAGTACCACCAGGGGGTGCTGCAGGATTTCCCATCCCAGCCACTGCTGGCCCAGCTGGGACTCGCTAGGTTCCCAGGCCCAGCCGCTGCTGGCCCAGCTGGGACTCTCCAGCGCTTGTGTTATCCCTGCTGGCTCCCACTCCCGACCTCCGGAGCTCTGTAGTGCAGTAACATCCATGGCACTTCCAGAGCACTGATGTTGCCGGACCCGAGAGCCCCGGATTGGGGAGGTTCAACCTGTATTAATTGGCTCCCTCCAGCTCAATGAAAAAGTTGAATGAATAAGAAATATTCGGTCAACAGTAATTTCAACGGCTGTTCTTGGGAAGTAAATCTAGAGTGTTTTGAACAAGTTCCACGCGATCACTTCTCCCGCAGCAGGGTGAGTTTAAAGGTTTGGAATAAGAAATGTCAATTCATCTTTATCTGTTAACAGCTCGCGGTTTCAGTCCATAATCAGTGACTCTCAAGGAAGCCTAACACCATACAGCAGTGGTCTGCAAGGTAAAACTGTCCAAACCTCAGGTGCACAGGAAGACAAGGGAGCCAGCAATGACAATGTATCTAGATGCTTTTAATGTACAGCTACACGTAATAGCAGTTTGTAGAGAACAGACACTGTGGGCATCTAGCTAGCACAGAAATAAATGGCAGGTAGAAAGTGAGGCGAGGGTTAGGTGGGGAGAGCAGAGTGCCCCACATGCTTGAACTCCCAGGCTCCTTACGCTACGTGGCTCTCCACACGCCTACGCTGTGCCTTCCTAATCTGGAGTCTGTTTTTAGCAGGGTCGCATCCTGCTGCCTCCTCCCCACCGCCAGCATCTCTCTGTGCTAGGGACACTTCAGTTCTGTACCGATCACAGCAAACCAATCCGGCCAGACAAAACAACACGCTTCATTATCAGCCATAAATGGGGAACAGCAAGTGTCATAGACGTTCGACTGAGCTGTGGCTTAAAAAAAACCAAACAAACCCTCAGCGTTCACTTTTTGTTCTCATTACGTACCCATGGCCGTGGTCAATGGCATGCGAAGCACCACAGAGACTTTGTGCAACTTTCACGTCTGGAACATTCGGGCCTGGCAGAGGTTCAACTGAGCTCGCATTAACACTGCTGGGAACCAGTGATGCAACAGGTTAACCAGTGGGGGCTGCTCCAGCACCGTATGGGGCCCGCCCTTGGAGTGTGAGGGCTGGGAGCCAGCAGAGCAAGGAGCAGCTCCGGCATGGGCGCTAGGAGCCAGGAGCCAACCTCGGTGTGGCACTTGGGGCAGGAGCCCCACGAGTTGGGGGCTGCTCCAGCTGGGCTGCAGTGGTCCCCAGACCGGACCCCACTTAATCAGTAAAACGTTAGGTCAGCCTAACGTGTTACCGATTAACTGATTAACTGGGATTTTACATCCCTAGTGGGAACTCTTTGGCCAGACTCTTCTTTTTTAAACCATTATCAGTTTTAACTTGGTTTAGCAAGTTTACTGACATGATGGTGAAAACAGATCCTCCACAGGTGCCTTGCCTGCACATGCTGACAGTGTTGGCAATGGCTCAGATGAACCAGTAGGATTGGGGAGGGGGCGGGTGTAGACTTCCCCCATTGCAAATAAGGCTTGAGACTGCTTAGAACTCTGTGTTTATTTTCACCCATTCAACTCCAATTCCTGAACTGGGGCTAGGAGAAAGTTCTTTAGACAGTGGTCCCCAACCTTTTGGGGATGCCGGGCACTTGGGGGCGGGGCCACTCACATGCCGGGCACCCGGGGGCAGGGCTGCGCACGGGGGCGGGGCCACCCATACGCCATGTGCCCGGTGCCGGCGTCACCCATGCGCCGTACTGCCGGAGCCAGCGCAGCTCCTGTGCCGCACGCCCAGGGGTAGAGCTGCCCATATGCCACATGCCCGGGGCTGGCACAGCCCTTGAGCCATGCACCCGGGGGCGGGACCGCCCATACGCTGCGCGCCCAGGGGCCAGCACCGCCCATGCGCCACGTGCCCGGGGGCAGGGGCGGGGCTGGCCCTGATCACTCAGCGGGCACACAGAAATGGCCCGGCGGGCGCCATGGCACCACGTTGGGGACCACTGCTTTAGAGACTAACAGCCCAGCCCCTTTAATTAAGGGCTGAAAAACTCCTCTGTTACAGTTCTCCAACCCCAGAACAGGTGCCAAACACCCAGCCCCAAGAGCACACAGGTTATTTCTGGCCCAAGAACAGTTTCCATTTTCCATCCCCCACTGGGTTTAGCTGATTTCACTAAGAGCTCCGTCCTACACAGGGCTGCATGAAACAGCTCAGACCAAACACACACCCACATAAAAACATTTGGCCGGATCAAACCCCAAGTGATTGTTTCACTTTCTTTGTATGGCTACAAAAATTCCTAATATGCAACTTACCACTGAACTGAGATGTTCGAACTCTCGCTCAGGCAGAAAGGCGCGCCAGCCATCTTCGACAACTTCAAACATGGGCCGGTAAAAGAAGGGATACATCAAAGTGACCGAATCCAGGGTAGACAACGCCTGTGGAAAAATGAAGCGTCAGTTTGTGTGCTCACCCTTCCGCCAAAATTTTAGAACAACGTTCCCATCTTTTAGTTTTGCCAATACAATTTGAATTCAAAGTTTGTGCAGAACATCTGGATCTAGACTCACACCTTTCATCTACCCTTACAAAAAAAGTGATGGTATTTTACCGCAGCCGGTCCAAAATTCTACAACTTCCAACAGCGATCCTGCAGCAGTCTGACCTATCACACTAGTAGTTTTTTGAGAAACGGTTTCTGCAGAGCAGGCGTAACAGCGCAAGCTTCTCTAACGTGGGCGGCAGCCTCATCTCGGCATCTTAGCTCTGAGGCCAAGAAGAAAATTATCAGGGAGGCAAAGGATTGAATGGACAAGGAAGTAACAGACAAGGATACACACCTCTCTCTGGAGTGGCCTGACATCATTAGCTGATTTTACAGGGCACTGAACAGCTAGCTGGTAACAATATTTGTCTAGTGCCAGGCTGGACTAGCGAATGACCTAGTGGTAAAAGGTTCCATATCCTATTATTAATTCAGAATTCCCTGCCATGGTTCCCATCTTTATATTTGCCCATTTTACTGTGCTGCAGTGTAAAATAAAGCAGAGTTTGTTGAGGCCTTTTATGTTTTTAATACAAACGGCAAAAAGCTTTTGATCAGGCTTTTTCAAAACAACAAAACCATCCAAAGCACCATACTCTAGTGGTAAAAGGTTCCATATCCTATTATTAATTCAGAATTCCCTGCCATGGTTCCCATCTTTATATTTGCCCATTTTACTGTGCTGCAGTGTAAAATAAAGCAGAGTTTGTTGAGGCCTTTTATGTTTTTAATACAAACGGCAAAAAGCTTTTGATCAGGCTTTTTCAAAACAACAAAACCATCCAAAGCACCATACTTGGC